GCATTAGAGTGACATGTCCAAAAGAGGCTTCCAGTAAATTTTTTTTCATCAGTGTAGACACCTCAAGTGACAAAGTTTCCATAAGCTGGCATTAGGGGCCAACTGATTTCCTTACTTTTGGGAGATCGGAGATCAGCCGATCCTTAGATAAGATCAGCGGAAAAGATCAGCTTTTCTACCTCCACAAAGATCTGAAAATCAGCCACTGTCCTCTTTTGCTCTGCTGTGAGCACTACCTAATATCCAATTAAAACAAGTTTGTACTGTATTGTTTCAATGGTATTGTTCAAAGTATTTCAGTAAAACATTTCAATCAATCAAACAAAATCAATCAAAACTTTATTTATATAGCACTTTACAAACCCCAAGGCGACCAAAGTGCTGCACAGCAAAAAAAAAATTAAAATAAAAACATGGTAATATAAAAGCATGCAAAACATTTAAACATTGAAGTTGTATTGTGACTTTATAACATCTGACTGTTTCAGCTATTTAAAAAATTGGTGTTGGCCAAAAATCTGAATCAGCAGGTCAGACCTTTTAAAGATCGGAGATCAGCAAAAACACCTGGAATCGGTGCAGCCCTAGTTGGCATAAGTTGTTGAAAACTGTTTAGTGTGACAGAGCCTTTACAAGGTGGACAAGTCTCTTATGTATCACTAAATAGAAGAATTGCTTTAAATTCCATGTTTGACCTGCCTGAGCATTAGCTGTGACAAACCAAAATGTTTGGAAATATTTCTTTGACAAAGTCAGTGTGCAGGGTCATCGAGAACACATAAACACAGGGAAAGAGATGGATGGATGGATGGATGGATGGATGGATGGATGGATGGATGGATGGATGGATGGATGGATGGATGAGTCACTCTGAAGATAGCTGAGCCTCTCGTCAGAACTGAGATACACCTCTCATCTTATATTTTTTATTTTCATTTGTAGCTAATCCTTCAAGAAATACATAATATAGCTAGAGACAAGACCAAAAGCTGGAAATTGAAGGATTATGGAACAGCACCCCCCTTTGTTTGTAACTTTTTGCATTGTTGGTCTCTTGTAATGAGCTTGTGATTTTATGAAGGTTTCACTTCAATGCAGTGAGTCACACACAGGCAACATGAAGCTTCAACATATTTTCTTTTGTTGATCTTTTTTTTTCTTTGCAGAACTTCTAGGTCTTTAGTTCTGAGTGTATAAACTGTGCAGTTTTTCAACAGATTCAGTGACAGTGGTTATTTTTTATAGTGTAAGTGAAGAAAATGCTAATTGCTGGTGTTACAGCATTAGGGTGGTCTGAACTCTGAGAGTCATGTTGATTTGAACCTCAGTAAGTGCCTCTACTTTCCCAGCAATGAAGATAAACGAGCTCTCACGTGGAAGATCCTGCCAAAGAAAGCCTGTAAAAACCTAATGAATGTGCTGAGAAATCTCCACCAGCAGCTGGTTGATGGTGAGTACCGACCTGATTTATGAATTGTTACAAGCTGTCATGTTTAGGTGACAGTTTCAGTAAATAAATGTGTCTGTGGAGGAAGAGGATCTGTTACAAGCAAATATTTGATCTCAGTCACAATCACACTTTTTTTTCAGACTACTATGTAASGGATATGCAATATGACCCCATATTGACCCCTACAACTATATATTTATATGTTCTGCTTCATTTATTACCTTTATTTTTCAGGGTTTTTATGTTTTCACTGATTCTTTCTATTCAACATACTGAAAGTGAAAATAATCCCTTTGCAGCAAAATGTCTTAATGATCTGTTGGCCCTGCTGCGGTGCTCACTGTCAGTTCTCTTTGCTATTCCAGACAGAGGCCATTAAAAGCAGCTGCTTATTCATCTGTAGTAATTGAACAAACGAATTTTCTGATTCAGTGAAGTTGAAAATCTCTCAAGTTGCTCCCAGAAGTGCTAATATCTATATGGATCCCAGAAGTTTAACAGAGAGTTTTATGTCCTTTTGACTTCGAAAAACAGGAAGACAACTTGCAGGGGCTATAAATTAAATGACTAAATTATGTTTATCCCCATTTGACATAGTGATACTCAGTGAAGCTGGACCTTTAAATCATGAATATTATTACTATGACTGTAATAATGTATTCAGCCTCAGAAATTAAGCAGTGATTGAGCGTCTACATGGAAATAACCCTTACATATGGTGTTTTTGTGTTCAGGTCAAAGCCGGCCTGATGGCTTGCTGGAGCTGAGCATGAGTAATTCACAAGAACTAAGCTGTGGAAAGAGTCTCCACACCCTGGAGCTGGAGATCCAGGAAGCCTTTCTGCGCTTTATGGCAGCTATTTTAAAAGGTTACCGCTCCTTCCTGCGGCCCATCACTCAAGCCCCTTCAGAGAAAGCCACAGACGCGAGCTCACTCTTCGACTTGCAAGGTATCGAGAATCACTCGGAGCCAAACCCTTTGAAGCCAGCGCAGCATGTAGAGTATTATTTAAAAGCCAGAGATCAGAGTCACAAAGGAAACAGACTGCATGTATCAACTCTGCTGTACGTTTTCTCAGCAGCCTCTTCAAAGTCCTCTCAAAGAAAACATACCAGGTTCACTAAAGTCTAATGAGACTCTTCTCTTTAGTTGCTGGCCAAACATTTTAGCCTTGAGGAAAGCCTGAAAAATACACAAAAAGAGCAGATCAAACTTCAAAACTGAGATTTTTTTTAAATAGTTTTTAAACATTTAGTTTTTCTTGCCAGCTAGATGTTTTTTAAAAAATGAGTCCAGGTTATGTATCACTTTTTTCTGATTTGGATCATTCACACTTGGCATATACATCAACTTTACAGTTCTGTGTCGGTGCAAAGATACTAGAGTTTAACCATTAAAACTCATGTGCTGAGAGTTAATAGTTGTTTTATTCATTAATATGGTCATCAGTGATGTGTTTGTTTAGGTGGATATGATGCAAAATAATGGTACTCAGACGACAGCTCACAGTGATCACAGCTCTAAACAATCAAAACAAACTAAACACTCACCATACTGTATTCTGACATCTGACTTTTTAAATCTACACTGGTTAAACAAACATCCACAATAAGGCCATTTTTATTGAGAAGAACTCCGGCAAGCAGTTTTTAACAATCAAAATAAACAACAATGCTGTACCTTAAGAATATTTTCAGGGATGTAATCATCTTTAATCAGCTTTCAGCTGAACAGACCTTTATTTATTTATTTACTTAATTACTTACATACTTATTTACTTACTTACTTTAATTACTTACTTTACTTACTTCTTTATTTACTTTGTTACTTTACTTATTTAATTCCTTACTTATTTACTTTTCTTACTTACTAGCCCATTTTTATTACTAACTTGCTAACTTTACTTACTTACTTACTTACTTACTTACTTACTTACTTACTTACTTACTTACTTACTTACTTACACACTTACCTACTTACTTACTTACCTACCTACTTACCTACCTACCTACCTACTTACTTACTTACTTACTTACTTACTTACTTACTTACTTACTTACTTACTTACACACTTACCTACTTACTTACTTACCTACTGAC